AATTACTTCCCTTGATTGTTAAGTTTAAACTTTGTTTCCCAGTCACAATATTTGTCATTTCTTGTGAAGCAAGGGTGATTTAGACTCTAAGTTCTGTGCATTATCTTTAATCATGTTGTGTGCACATTCTTTCTGATGTTTGTATTACATATGAGTTGAAACATAAGACCTGAGCTCGAATCGTATTTGCTAACAGGTAGCTGCGGTTCGTGTGTTCCCGTGGGCGAAAGCAAACCTCAACTACACTGCTGAGGCACTCATTGTATCTGCAGGTTAGCTCTGTCTAACTCTTTGTCCTCGAACCCTTTTTTTGTTTTTGATGACATCATCTTTTTGAGAATAACTACCCTTCCAAATCGTAACATCGTTTCATGAAAACTTGTGATTTTTAAATTTTATTTATTGACATCCTTTCACAAAAACAAATTCTGGGCTATCCTTGAGTACTCATTGTTGTCTCACTGCCGTCAATTTCTTCTCCCTTCGTTCTACCACGATCAAATTCTTCTCACCAACGTAAATGTGTTAGATTTCTTCCCTCCTACTTGGGCGTCTTCTGTTCGTCGACCCTTCGAAGGACAACTTTAGCAATCATTATTTTGGTAAGTATTGATGTTTTTGTTCTGAAATCCTAAAATCCTTTCACGAGGAAAATTTGTGATTGTTTGTTTTATCGTAAAAACCTTGAGCATTGTTTTTCAATTGGTAGACCTGGATCCCATTTTCTTCTTCTTCTTTGGAGCGATTCAAAGTTTCGTTTGGATTACGCTAATCCGATTTCTTTCTTATGTCGTTGTGTTTTTGCATCTTATAGGGTTTTTAATTTAAATCTTGTGTTTCACTTGTAAGATTGCACATTCATTTTTACAAATTAGGGGGTTTCTATGCTTTCTCAGCATTTTATATGTAATGATTGGGTTTTGAGAATGATGTATCTGATGATAAAAAACTGATACTTTTAAGAATTGATCATTGTAGATTCGTCCCTACTTTCTCTTCACATCTTCAATTCATTCAATCGGGTAAGTCTCTTCTCTTCACCATTCTCCCCCCCCCCCATTTAATCTATGTTCATAACCTGTAATTCGATATGGTGTCTCCCCAAAGTAAAAAGAGTTTTAAGATTTGAAAAATCATGAAAAATTTAGATTTTTGATATGTTCTTGAGACCTATCAAAACACTTTCCTTGGATTGAAATCTCAAATTTTGAAAAAGACAAGTTTATATTATTATGTCTATTGCACTGTGTTTCTCCAAATATGTCTCAAAATTCGTTTTTATATGTTTGTTCATTGTTCTTGTTGATTGTTCTGATTTTGGATCACATGTAGGAGTTGTTTTGTTTTGTTATAGTTTTAGTATGTTTTTTTTAAGCATTGGTCTAATGAGACTACAAGACGTATTGTATGGGCCACTGTTTGTATATGGTTCGTTTGAAGTGAGGAAGATGAGAATCCATTATAGAGAAGAAGAAGAGAACATCTTCTAACCAACATAGGTTTCCCCAAGGCGGAGCTTCGATAGCGGACTGAGTAGCAGAGACATGAGTAGGGAATAATTATTGAAAAGCAAGATATTAAAAACCCTAATTGAAGATTTTGTTATGCTCACAAGTTACATATACTCCACGAATAAAACCTCCAATATTATGTTAGTACCGAGAAATTGTGTTGGCCTTGCCCACCAAGTTTTTGTATATTTTTATTTGCACTATGTCCTATTTTGGGGCTAGTTCTCCAAAATGTCATCAAGATCTTTAACTTGACTTTTCCTATTTCTACTTTAAAGCTAAATATGAACAAAATCAGTATTTACTAATCGTTAATTAATAAGAAGTTAAGAAAAGAGTGTGGGATGTTGCACCGTGTGATTTTATCGCTTTAGTGGTCGGTAAGATCAGTCTATGGCTCTATAGATGGGATAACTGAAACGTCCTGACCCGGATTTCTTTACCGCGGTGAGGTTCCGGGTCAGTTTGTCTCGACCAGACTTAGCCATTTCAGGTTAACCTCTTACGTTTTTCCAGTCTTTTCCTTTACTTAGTCATTTTCAACGTTTTCGATCTAGACAAGAATTTTTAAGCATAAACTTAAATACTTAGATTAAATCGCAAGGTTTCAATTACAATGATCATTTCGCTAATACGCTATTACATTGCAAGAGACCTAGCTACCCGATTCAATCCTCCATCCTTCCCATTCCAACCTTAGTCACCACGGTTCAAGCACATTCGTTCCCATCACTGGAAAACTCTTTATCTGCATCCACCAAGGAGGCATAAGCAACAGAATTGCTTAGTGAGAGCGGTCGTCCCGTCCCACTTAGCCACAGTATAGAAATCG